AATTTGTACAGTTTCCCAGAGACCCTAACTTTCTCTCCATGCGTAGTTTATACACTGGAGATGATAAACAAAAAATTAAGTGTCCAAATACCGTGATAGAAACCCAAACATTTCAGAGTTATTTGAAATATACGTTTCCAGGTAAAATAACTTTCCAGGTAAAAATGCATTTAATTTTAAAGATACTCTTTTAAATTTGTAAAGATTTTAACAAAATTGAATGATAAGTTTGAATTTTAAAAAGATATAGCTTCTTAGGCATATTTTACAGTTTAAGAAGTTTATAAAAAGTACATTAATGATTTAGGGCCTGGCCCCGTGGCCAAATGGTTCAAGTTCCTTGCGCTCCGCTTCTGCGGCTTGGGTTCACAGGTTTGGATCCTGGGCATGGACCTACTCCACTCACCAGCCATGCTGAGGCAGTGTGACCCATATACAAAAAATAGAGGAAGATTGGCACAGCTGTTAGCTCAGGGCTAATCTTCCTCAAGCAAAAAAAAAAAAAAGAAGGATGGGCAGCAGATGTTAGCTCAGGTCGAGTCTTCCTCTGCAAAAAAAAAAAAAGTATACTAATGATTTGTAACTTCTGTAATAAAAATCCAGATTTACTGTTATGCAATTTCAATTATATTTTAATTTTACCTCACTCCTTGTAGGACCTATAACTCAAATTGGATTATTTAAGGGTTTAAAAGTATTTGTAAGAGATTATGTTTTTAAGTCGGGTTTGTGGAGTTTGAAGATAAATTCAGAATTATCCTCAAATACTTGCGATGTGTATGTAGATCTTAATTTCAAATCTTAAAGCAAAGATCTCAATATTTAACTGACTTTCAAAGCATTTCCTGAATAGGTGATTTTGTATGTTAGTGAAATCAGTGTGTAATTAATGTCCTTTGTTAAAAAATCTCCGTTTTCCCTCCGCACAGTGAACATGGCCACAAGCAGGCTAATAGGTGCTGTGGCGGGCACCATTCTGGCCCTGGGGGTGATTTTTGGAGGCACAGGGTGGGGAATAGAGTAAGCATCGTTGTGAGTTTCAGAGTGTTTCTGTTTGGTTCCTGGGGTGTGAGCTGACCCCTGGCCCCTGACCCCCTGTGTCTTGTCTCTGCCGTGTTTCCTGTGGTCGTGCAACTTGTGGTGTGATTTGGATGTGTTTGTGTCATGTGGCCTTCTCGTGCAGTGAGGAACCTTCTCCTGTCTGGAACAATGTGGGGCATAAAATAACGTTGGGGTGCTTATGATGTCTTCAGAATGAAAGCAGCAGTCCAAAACCTTCCATTGCTCCTCTGCTTGTAAAAGCAATTTTAAGATACAGATCATTTTTTTTTTACTATTTATTGGCAAAAATTCTTTTATTATGTTTTATTAGGATTCTTATAGTGAATTTAATCTTCACCAGTCAAATAGATCCACATATATAATTAGAAATTATCAACAGTGGTAGCTCCTTTTAAAGATAATCTGAGTGATAGTCATTAATATTTTCTCCATTTATTGAGTGACATAGGAGGCTTCAGCTTAGTTTTTTTTTTTAAAAGAAGATATTTTGGATAATGCCTTTATTTTTTTCTTATAAAATAGGTTAATAATTCAAATTTGAAGTTTACATAAATATTTGGGAGCAAGGAGGATTAAGAATGAAAAGATATTTAATCCAAACCTGCAAAACCTTCGGTGAACAGTTGCAAATTATCTGGTGGGTTTGTCTTAAAAATAGCCAGTGTACGAATAAATGTATTTTATGCCACTTGCCCCTACAGAAGTACAGCTCTCCTGTGCCTGTATTTAGTTTGCTCTGTCCTTGATCCACATCCTCAGAATAGCTGTCAGTTCTCCGTGGGATAGTGCTTTTATGAGATTGTTAATCTGTACGCTCAAAGATTATCATGATTTTTTTCTCTCTGTCTAGTTACAGAGAGAGCATTTACAAATGACAGAAGCACAGCTTCACAGGCTGTCTTTTCTATTCACTGTGGTGGTGGTAACATTTCACAGTGACCCAGGAATGAGTTACTAATATCTTCAGGCATCACCAGATACCCTCTACTCAACCAGCCCAAACACAGGCATGTTGCTAATCTCACACGTTCCTCCTTAGTCCCATTGGTTGCAGCACACAGATGCTCTTCTTGTGTTCTGGGTCAGGGAGACCCAGGCACCAAAATAGCATTAAGCGGGGAGCAGATCCGTAGGTCACACTCGTGTTGAAGATTGCCTGAGCCTCATCTCCCCGAATTGAAGGGCTTAGACTGGACTTGGGTGTTCTAACTCACATCCCATCACTGTGGACCATGAAGCTAGTTAGCCCAGGGGACGCTAGAAATACAGGAAGAAATGTTTCTTTCTTCTTACTTGTTAGAAGAAAAAGCATATAACAGAGGTCAAATATTTAGAGAAAACAAGAACTTTGCCCTGTAAAATTTCACCTGGGGCTGTTGGCTGGATGATATACAGAAGTAACATTCCTTTTCCAGGGGAAATTCTATATATACATTTATGTGAAGTTCCTCCTTGAAGAAAGGTAGTTTTCTAAAAATCATCCCAATTCCATTTTTTATGTTATTGATTGGCCGTAACTGTGCTGTGCCACAGTGTCCTAACTGAAGGGACGAGTTTCAACGAGTCCCCTGTGAGTCTCAGCGTAGGCAGAGCCGCGGCCGCTGTTGTAAAGTGTAGTCCTTGTCACCAGCATTCCTTTCGTCCCTCCCTCCCAACGTTGGCGGTTTGTGGCTGTTGCTGGTTGTGACAGGTAAGTCCGTGTGAGTGTTCATATACTCTTCCTAAAAATAGATTTGTTATTATCATTCTTGGTTTATGTACTGTTTTTGTCTATTAATTTACTGAGTTTTTACTTTGAATTCTAAATTTTGCCATAATTGCTAAAAAAGTAAATATAGTTTTTTAAAAATAAAATCCACATAAAGTACAATATAGATTGTTGTAACACTTCCTTGTGTAACTGATAGTGTGATGTTCTTTTCGTCACTAAAGATCCATGGACAGAGGTCGTTTTTCTTGTTTTGTTTGTTTGGCTTTTATTTCTCCTTCTTAGTTTATAATTGTAAATTTGGAACCATTTCTCATGGCTTATATATTGACTCTGATCCCAGCCTCTGTCTTCTGAGCTAGTAGAGTGCAAACCATGTCTAAAGCATAGAGTATGTACATGGTGATATAAATATATTTTAAGTGTTTGTTTCAAAATTTTATTCCCTATTAAAATGTGGGAGGAAGTCCATGCAGATGGAATCCCATTACATCAGAGCAGGTTAGCGAACTTTCTGTGAAGGGCCAGGTGGGAAGTGGCGTGGCTCTGCAGGTCCTGGGAATCTGTCACAGCCTTGTGGGAAGCAGCTTTGAGCGGCATGTACCTGAATGAGCGGAGCCATGTTCCAGGAACATTTCTCTGCAAAACAGACAGTGGGGCCAGACTTGGCCTGTGGGCTCTGGTTTGCTAACCCTGGATTCACAGCATGACCTTGGAGACAGACAGATCTGTGTTCAAATCTGCCTCTGTCCTTATGAAGCTCTAAAGCCTCTATTCCGTCACTTAAACAGGGAGAGTCATGTTCCTACATCATGTGGTTTTTGTGGGGATCAGATGAGATAATATTTGGTGGGTGCTTAGCACCGCACCTGGCACGTGGGAAGTGCTCCATCTACAGTCGCCAACCTGCTGCTATTATGTATTATTATTGGTGTCTCTAAAGCCGCTGAGATTTATGTTCTGTAGAACCTCAGGGGTTAGTCCCAAGCTCAGGAACCTGAAGAGACCACATCCCCATCCCGCGGCAGCTGCCCTCCACTCTGCACTCACACCCACGGCGCTGGGCAGCCTCGGAGTGAACTCGTACACCGCACACAGTTTCAGTGCCGCTGGAAGTGGCATCTGTTGATGTACGCGGCTGAGGGCACTGATGTGAGCAGAAAAGAGAACTTTTTACACAGAAACGAATGTATACACAAACCTGAGAATTTTAGAGGAACTACCAAAATTGGCCTTGTGACTTCTGGAACAGGGATGTATAGTTAGGACCAAAGCACTGTGCTGTTAGGGGCGCTGGACCTGCGTCCTGAGGAGGGCGATATGTAAAATAATTCTTGTGTTAGGTTAATGTTGCTTACGTTTACAAACAGTGAGCTCAGATGTTTTCCCCGTGCATGGAGAGAATGTCCTGTAGCACGTGTCAGCTCTTGACTGATAGAAACTCCACTCTGTATTTTCTTCCTGGCTGTCCTTTCTGCTCCCTTCTTTTTTCATATTTCCGAGCCTCAAGTTTCAAATGGGAACCTCAAAGATGGTCTCCATTGAACCTAAGGAATATTTTTTCCATTTCCTCAAAACTACCCAATTGAGTTTTATGCTTCCTTTATAGCTTGCCTTTGGACCCCCATCTTACTGCTTAAACACCGTACGGGTCCGTACAGTGAAGAAATCTGTCTTTGAGAGCAAAGCTTCAGAGTCAGATCTTTATTGATAACCTTCTGACTTCTAGATTTTCACTGTCTCCAAGGAGGGGATAAAAAATTTAGCATTCAGACAACGTTGTGTGCTGCTGCTTGAAAGAGCACTTGAGTAGAATATGTTTCCTTCTTTTCATGCTCTCTTTGCCGGTCAGATTGAACTAAGTCTGATCCAGCTGTGTCTTTACGTGTTCTTCTACTTGTTTGATTCATGGTACTGGGAAAGGAGAGGAGGAGGAGAAGACGGGCCATGACAGCAGTGGGGGCATATTTGCTTCAAATTCTGCAAAAGGTGAATGTAATGGAACTTAATTGTTGATGGTGCAGAAACCTTAGATTTACAGGCATACAAGTCTAAGCAGTACCTGTCCACAGCATCTAAAGTGCCATTAAGCTAATAAATGAAGGCAACTTAAGTGTCCAGGGATCTGTCACACAGGGTATTGACTTGCTGAAACCGCTTATCTGCTTTCCTTTGTGCTAACGAAGATGGTTGGCTCATACGACTTTCCTCCCATGATCCTTTGTCGCAGGTCCTAGTGCCACCAATCTCATAATAGGCTCCATCGCTGGTGCCATCCTGGTAGCAGCTATCGTCCTTGGGGGCACAGGATGGGGATTTAAGTAAGCAATGCCGCATGTCTTCTTCTCAGTGGCTCTGGCTCTTCTCTTTTCTGCTTACATAACCAAGTTTTGAGTTCCTGCTACAAGATTTCAAGTTTTAACAGTAAAACTGCTAAAAATAAATATTTTTATTCAGAAATGGGTTAGAAAAGAAGCAGCATGGAACCTCAAATATCATCTTCAGGCAAGTGGAAAAACATGAAATGTAGAAGGAATTCACTTGCACTACTTTAAGGAGAACAACGTAGAAGTTCTTCAGTAGAAGACATTCCAGCTTTTAGGAGCAAGTGTTTTGAGATACATTTATTTATACACAGATAATTGAGGAAAATATGTAGTTGGAAATAGGTGGATATAAATTCCTCCTATCCGTTTAAAACTGGTTTATATTCCCTTGACATTTTGAAGTTTTCACAACCTAAGTAACCATTTGGTCATTATTTTCCACATGTAACATATTATGTGTAGCTTCGTGATTTGAAAAGCTTCAGATTGAAAAAATATTTTCCTTAATTCTCTAAGCTACTGAATTCGTTTCACCTTGGCATTTGAAATCTGGCTTTGTAACGCTTAATATTTTCCAATTAACTGTTAATATTGACAGGTATACCCGGTGTGTTTTCATAGGGACCTTCTAGTTTGCATTGTACATTGATCACTGAACTAAGTTTGTTTAAATAGACAAGCCAGATAATCACAAATAAACCTTAATTATGGTCAAAATTTTTCAACCTGCTTTATCCAGTTTGGATGTTTCCATGCCTCAGATTCGTTGGATAATTGCTTTTTATGTCTTTTCATGCTGTGATGACTTGATTATTATGATTTGCAGATCAGACCCCCTGTTCCAAATACTCCTTGTGATAAATTCAGTTTCAACCAGATCTACAGAAACAAATGTAAATGGGAAACAATACCATTACCCAAATTCAAAACCCGCTTTGCCTCCATCTGGTTATTCGATAGAGGAAGTTTTTGACCTGGACTATCTGAGTAATTGCCTTAATCATGAACTTTGTTTTCTTTTACATTTGGGATCCTGAATTCGTTATATTTAAACCAGCTAAAACGTTATTATTAGAAACTGATTATGAAAGAAAAACAACCAGAAAATTCTTTAAATAAATTCAACATTTTCTGCTAATTTTGTTATCATATTAAGATCTAATGAGTAAGCCTACAAGTTTTTGAGTGGCCTCAACTTGGAAAGGTGTTATCAAAAGGTACTTCTTTCCTACAGATATTTATAAACTTGAACTTGTTTAGTGAAATGGTAATTTTGGCACCAGTGTGTTTTCACAAGCACACACACACGATGGGCTGCTCACAGTGGAGTCTCTTGTCCTGGTGTTCACAGGACATCGCTCAGATAATGTCGCTCATGTGGCACCTCACAAAAAGTCACGTTTTTACTTGGGCTGACCTAATTCCAACAAAAGCTTTTCTAAGTGCCTCATTGCTACATAACTGTCGTTCCATGATCTGTTTTCATGTTATAATGCCCCCGTGAACTTTTTCATGAATATGCCTCAGGAAAAATAAATGTGGCTCGTGCCCAGGCTTACGCCTCCTTGGCGTTAGGCAACCTCCATTTCAAAGGCCTGGAAAACAGTCTGCTGTGCATCATGGCCATCCAGCAACCTGCAGTGACAAATGTCCCACAGCGGCATTTGGAGATGAGAGCACTGTTCTGTAGCAGGACCTCAAAACAGTGGCCTGGCCTAGCTCACAGCTTGACTTGCATGTTTCTTTGGGGAAAAATGGAAAAGCCTTTATCACTGTGTATATAACTGGATTAGGCCCGTATAGATTATTCATATCTGAGAGAGATGTCTAATCATCAGAAGAACAGGAAAAAAGTTGGGGGGGAGACAGACACTTAGTGAGGAGAGAAACAGCCTTTGTGGGGATTGCTGTGCAGGCACGTGTACCGCTGAGCTGTCGAGCCCCCTCCCGTGCCCTATGGCCCTGATTTATTACCCTAAAGGAAACCATCGTGGGAGGCACACAGGAGTGTGAAGTAAATATTTTTATGTCCTGAAACAAAGAAAAATGAAGACAAAATAATTCTTGGACGTGTACCTTGAGCAGTTTAAATGTGGAGAAGCTGCTGCTCTTGGTGCTAACAAGTGGTTGCTACGTGAGGATCTTAATTTACTTTAGATTTTAGCAGTAGCAATGTGGTTGGTACTAAACCTTAAGTAGCTACTTCTACCTTGCAATAGAATGCTTTGGGTGCTGGGTGATAAAGTTTAGATTTTCCCACCACTTGGGCAGTATTGGAGATTATGAGTCTAGAGATGATTTGGAAGTATAATTATTTGCTAATTGAACTGAAACTTTGAGTTTTTCATTGACTTCAATGTAGATACAAAAGAGGTTCCTTTAGCATCAGAAATGGAAAATAGTTTGTAAAAAAATATTGCTCTAAATACCTTTATTGGAAATCCCTCCTGAAATCAGGTTTTTATTACTAGAAGAGAAGTTAGCGAAGTAGCCTGAAAAATTTGAGGGTACAGACACTTTTAGATTAAGGGAAAGTACATTAACTGCTCAGGGGAAGTATTGCTTTTTCCCAAAGTCATGTTTCTTTAGGTGTAACCGAGTGACTTAGATGTGGAAGAAGTGTCATACCGTACGTGACCTGTTCAAGTGTAAATGAGAAATACAGCTGTGCTCTGGGCCCGGACATTGTCTGCCCTTCTTTATAGTTCTTCTCTTAAACTGTGTTTCCTCTGATCTAGGTGCTAAAAGCATAAGCAGATGTGAGTGTGCGTGTGTGCATGAATGTGTGCACATCTGTGTGCAAAGTGATGATAAAGGTTTACCAAGATTATTGTGATCAATGAATAATATAAATTTAGATTACTTCTTTTTAGCAGAATAGTAGAGTCTGAAAGCTTTGGTTATTGCAAACAAGACTTCCATAAGCAAGGTTGGGGAAATCTTGAGAAGAAAAAAAATGCTTTATTTGGTAGGTTATTTTCTTTAACAAATTCTCATCTATTGGGTAGTGTTGTAGGTATACCTGAGTAACTTCAGTTAACCCCATATTCCAGAAGTATGAGGATCCTAAGGGATGATTTAGTCTATAGATTCCCATTCTTTAGAGTCTTAGGATTTTTCTCTGAGAAATCCTGTGAACAATACCACTTAGGCCGTTGGCACACCGATTTATCCAACTTTTCCTGATATCTGCATTTATTTACACTCACCCCAGGCTCCCTTTCCTCTCCCTCACCACACACAGAATAAAGCCATGCATTGCAGTGCAGAGGATTGCAGACCTCTGTCCTGGTTGACTCATGGAGACTCATGGCCTCTATCCAGTGTTGAGTAATAATGCTACTCGACTAGATTATTAGAGCTGTTGCTTTTACAGGACATGGGAAAAATCAAGTAGATGAAGGATCATTTTAGTAGCATCTTCCCACAGCTTAGGAAAGGTGACAAATATATAAAAAGAGAACTTCATCTCTCCCTTTAAAAATGAACAGAATTGCTGTCATTACCTTGGACATGGCTTTTTATCTGACATTCCCTAAATTTGAATACAGGAGTTTAGATTGAGCAGTATAGTCATTTACATAGAAATGTATGATTCTAACATAAAGTATATCAACACCATAGGTGATGATAGTAGGAAAGAGAAATTCTAGGTGATGTTAGGAAGAGGACTTGAGGGTGACAATGACATAGTTGGTTGACAATTCAGATCACAAGATTTCAGGACAATTGTTGTGCTCTTCCAACCATATTATAATGTCTCCATCTGTGGGACCCCATCACAACGCCCCACTGTCCCTGCTGGCTCTCTCCATGGGATTTGGTGGCAGTAGTGGCCATACTGACCTGGCAGAACTGCGCCTGACATTAAACATGCTAATTCAATAAGTCTGTGTAATTATCATATATGGTTTCCTCTCTATGAGAAGTTACTTGGGTTACAAGTTCTTGCTGAGCCTGACTTGGACTCTAAGAGATTCTGTTTGGCCTATGTTCTGTTTTGTTGGGCATGCTAAAGAAAAGACTGTTTAGGTACTCACATAAATGAAATTTAAAAGACCATATATGGATTATCACAAGGAAGGTTAACTGAATTGTTTGAATGTCAAGTTGGATGGAATTTGAAAGGAACTTAATATTGCTAATTATATTTTCTCAAAAGAGCAAATGTCTTTCTATTTTCTTTTGGCTTTTAATTTTTACATAATTAGAAAAGAATCAACTTTAGCTCGTCTTTCCATGAGGAGGACAACCAGACAGCTGCTTGCCTGACTTCCGTGACCGTGTCCCAGTGCCTTAGGGGCCTGATTGCCCCGGTGCCTGCGACTTCTGGGTTAGGCACTTTCCCACTCATGACTCGTGGTGGGAGGATAAGAAGGTGATAGTGGTGGATAAATGTACACCTGTGAAAGAAGACCTAAGGGTTTGCAACTCCGAGTTGGTTATTGTTATCTGGAGAGCTTTGTTTTAATTTTGTATAGATGTATATATAGGATAATATATATTGTAGACAAAAGTACAGGTTTTTTCCAGAAGTAGTAAAAATTGGTGAAAACTGGGTCAATGCAAGGTTTATGGGTTACCCTAACATTTCATAAGGATCCAGAAATACCTTACAGGTTATGATGAGAAGGTTAACTGCCTTCAGAATCCTAGAGAGTAGAGGGTATTCAGAGGAAACAGTCGTGGAAGGAAAACAGCGAGCACCTACCCATGATAGTTGTGCTTTCACATTCGAATAGAACAAGACTTCTTTTCATATAGAAAATTCAGGCCAGGCAGTTCTCAACACACAGTGGCCCATGGTGGTTTTACAGTTTGTACATGAGGAGCCCTCAAAGTCAGCCTGCCAGGAGTGTCCCTCCTCATCACGGGGCTCCACCGTCTTCCTGCTGGAGCAAGTAGGGTCCTGGAATCCCCCGTTGGTATTCAGAGCCCATTTCCTCATAGAAATGTATGGTTCTATAAGGTGGCTTGGCCTCCAGGTCTGACCTGGGAGTCCAGTCACCCTGTAGGACATTGTTGCTATAAAAAAGTGCAATCTAAGCTTCAAAAACTGACTTAAAAGGAGCAGAAGCTTTTGGACACTGGATGTTGCGTGTATACCAGGCTGAAGTGGAATTTCATATCTCCATTTAACAATGAACTGGATTGCTGTTATGACCTTGGATGTGGCTATTTATCTGACATTCCCTGAATTTGAATAAAGGACTTTAGATGTGGGCCGTGTAGTCATTTACACACACAGTGCTAGCTAGCTTGATCTTTCCTCTACATTCATTCCATTGAGGAGACATCAGTTTAACACTTCTCTGGAGTTCCTGCAATTCATAGCTGAATTCAGGGTCATTTCACAAGGTCAGGCAGTCCCTGTTGTTCCCCACCTGCCTCACAGCAGGTGTGGTTCCTCATACATCGACATTCCAGGGCTATGAGCAGGGTAGAGACGCAGATCCAGTGCTCCAAAGTGACAGACACGTCCTGGAGGTTGTTTTTGTTCTCACCTGCTTCCTGGGCGCATCCACAATGCCTGCTTTTGAGAATATTGACTCAAAGAGGGTGGGTGATGGTGAAGAAAAGGAAGGTGTGCTGTTGTAAACAGCGTTTGGTGCCGAGGATTCCCTGCCAGGCTGGTGAGCCACATGCTTGGGCCACTAGTGAAGATGTGTTAGTGAAAACATTAACAAAGAAAAGGGAGGTTTTCTTTAAAGATTTTTATATTTGGTGTTTCAAAAGGGAAACATCAAAGTGGTCATCTTGGGAAAACAAGAACTTTGCAGGATGCCTTGACGTGTGCTTGAGCTCTGGTGTTGTTTCTGTTTTGAATCACCTCTGGGAGGAGTGTCCCGTGATCCTCTGGTACTTAGGGCTGTGAGGGCGTCCAGCTGGCCCTGAGTGAGTGGGCAGGGAAGTGAGGGTCCTGGGGCCTCGTTGGTCCCGGTTTGCATGACGCCTTGGGGGCAGCAGCGCTGCACCCGCCCAGCGCGCAGACTAAGTGCATGAGCCCCCGCTTGATGCCCCACATGCAGCCAGACCGTGGGGAGGTTGCAACCAACTGTTGTTGTTGCCTTGTGGTGTCTTGCTGGTTCTTTCTTTTCTCCTTTTAAACGCAGGAACCACTTTTTAGGAGACTGGACACTATGAGCAAGGCATTTTAACTCGCTTATTTCAGCTAAGCTGAACTGCCGCGTTTGCTTCACTAACCCGAGACTGTGTCCATTCTCCTTGGAGTGTGCTCTCTCACCGTGCACTCTGGTTTCCACCCTCTGCGTAAGAAACATGCTTGTTCCATAGTGGGGTAAGAGCTCGCACCCCCAGGGTAGCCAGATAAGAAGGGAGCAGGGCCGGTCCACTGATACAGAGCTCTCAAGTTCTGGAAGGAAGCAGCCACAAGACCTTCAGAGGTTTTCTTAGTTCTCCTAATAGCCCCCTATTAGTGAAGAGCCCTCCCTATAGTGATTGTCATCGGGTTAGAATTAGCCGTGTCATTGACTTGCGAAATGAGAGACAAATTGGGCTGCTGAGGCTTCCAGTGATTTAAAATGACCGACTTGAAGCTTCCTTAGGTCTTCACAAATGGACCTCCTCTAGCGGAGATGACGTGGAGACATTCAAGAGTGTGAGCTGCTCTCTGCTTCAGTTACACTTATTTTGGAAATCCTCGGTGTGAGCTGATTACTCTGCTCTGGAGCTAGCCTAGTTGTCATTACCCTCACCCTTCCCTCCTCATGATCTGATTAATATTGTGGCTTTCTCCCCTCTGCTTCCATCTTTTTTTGACGCGCTCTGGAAGAAATGTCAAGAAGAGGAGATTCGACCCCACTCAGCAAGGCCCCATCTGAGTTGGCGGCCCTGGACGACCGGCGCCTTGCACGGTGGCACTCGGAGCGTGACACACTTGCAGCCACGTTGCCGGAACTGCTAAGTCTGTAAACAGTTGCATTGGGTGGTAATGACTACAGAATAAAGTTGGGGTGACAGGGATGGGGTAGAAGAAGACTGTGCTTTTTGGAAATAATTTCAGAGAACCCCTCCCACCACCTGTTAATAAAAGGAGGCAAAAGACAATATTATAAAAAGAACTATTTCAGAATCTTTTTTTTTGCTAATGAAAGGAAGAAGGAACAACAGAAAATTAAGTGCAATAAAAGAACCATTACAAAATAGCAAATGATTTTTTTCTTTCCTCAGCCTGCTGGCACTTAATATCTTCTAGATGATTTGGCATGATTTGTTTTCCTTTTCCGACCAATGACACACTCCAGGGGCATGAAGATCTAATTTTCGAAAGGGTAAAAACTGCATGGTGTACATTCAACAGCAGCTAGCAAGCCAATCCACAGCAGAACCTGCAGCTGACTCTCTGCACGGGGAAGGGACAGAAGAGCACAGGGAGGCCGCCGGCCCCGGCCCAGACCCGCCCGAGCAGCTCCCAGCCCTGCTCTGGTTGATTCACTCTCCCGCTGTTTTTTCTCCTGGACTGAGCATCCTTCGGAAATGGGAGCCGGAATTTGAACAATGATGCTATTGTATAGTTCTTTTATAAATGTAAATATGGAAATAAGCGATTTTGACACCTCACTTTCACCTGTCTGGATTGCAAGATTCCCTTGTACAGGTTCTCTGTAATCTGAGTTTGCTGTTTGCTCCCTGTCTTTCTGGTTTCCTTTCTCTCTTTCTTTCTGCTCTGTCTCTGTCCTTCTCTCTTGTAACATGTTGTATGATGATTGTTGGGCTTGCTTAAAAAAGACAGATGTAGCCACAGATGCGGGAGTTTGGGCACAAAACAGGTGCAATTTAAAAATGAAATGCTTGAATGAAATGAAATGCTTGAAACCAAAAAGAAACGAAAGGTGGGGGGACACAAATGACAAAATAACGCAAATTAAAACCACAGAACTTGTGTAAATGCAAATATACGTACTAACAAGTCCCTCAAGTTTTGATGTCGTTATGAATGTGTGTACATAGTGTAAGAAAGCAGACGCCCTCTCAGATCAATCACAGAAGTGCCGAGCTCGTGAGTTTAGTGTTGGGTTTTGACAGTTTTCTTTCCCTGTCGTTAATGTGAAAGGAGGATAAACTTAAAAGCCTTAAATAAAAAAAATAATTTTTAAATGTTGAAAGCTTGGGAAAAAAGTTAAACTTTCCATTTTATTCATATCCATCATTGTCGATTTTTCATTCCTGCTTCATCTTCCTGCCTCAAAACACATGTGGTAGAGCCCTGCTGAACAACTGGCCTGGGGACAGAAACGGGAGTCACCGTCTGTGAGCGTTGTGACTATAGGCTTTGATTCTGTGTTTCAGAAAACCTCGCTTGGCCCATGGTGTGTTGCTGGTCCCTGGAGGGTTGCCCCGGGTTATAATGGGATTCCACTGTCCACAAACCCCCTTATTCTCCCTCCTCCAGGCAGATCTGCAGATGGAATCTGGGTCCCCGAGTCCCTCTGAGTGTACTTCACTTTCACTGATTTCTTCTTCCATTTGTGGTCAAGATGGCTTCTGTTCAAGTGTTAAGTAAGTACTTTAACAGAAAAATTTGGTCCCAGCTTTGTTTTGAACGTGCAGACTTGGGCATACCCCTTCACTGAGCATCCGTCTAGAGACGAGCTTGCCTGAAGGCCCCCAGAGAGCCCACACTTCTCTAAGGTCCTCTTTTTAGGAAGAGGACATGCGATCGTACCGTTCTCTTCTCCGTGACAACAAATCAGCTGCCAGGTTTGGCTTTAAGTCTCTGTTCAGCGAGATTCCTGACACTGGTCTCACAACATCTGCTTCAACTTTGCAAAGGATTATGTCCTAGAAATGTGCTGCTTAAAACAGGGGGACTTTCCCCAGATATCTTTAATTGTGGAAGTGTCACAATCATAGAGCAGAAACCTTAATTTCTGTGTCACAATAGCCTGTAACCTAACATCTTAATCCTGTTATTGCTGTCTGAGTGCTAGGTGCTACACAGGTATGCAGGCGTCCTCTAGAACTAGCGATGTGTGTGGGTTGGAGTAAGAGTTCTGTCTGCAGGGTTTATCAGCCTTGCTCTTGGCTTCATGGGACACAGGTTGTATCCCTGTACCTATGGCCATGGCTCTTTCAGTTGGAGGAAACTCAGATGACTGGGCATTTCCTGTCGCTGCATCGTCTCTGTCTCTCTGTGGCTGGGTCCTCCTTGCTGGGAGATGCCTGGCTGCTGCTGAGTCCACAACACATGTTCACTGCTGTTCCGGAGGCACCACAGCGACTTAACAGACATGAAACCACGGTGGTTACAAAACAAGTTCAATCTCTATTGTTAACTTTTGAGCATTTCACAAACAACATTGTAAATGTGCGATGTTATGTTTTAAATCAGACCACAGTGGTCCCCAAATATTATGTACATATGGCAAATGTCCAGTGTAACTTTTTGTCACACTGGCAGTTTCATAGGTTACCAAACCTATGCTCCAATGTTAAGTTATTTGTGTGTATATGTAAAATACACAAGCTTTAAGCTATGTGTGTACGAATAGGAAAGATAATGCGGCTATATCAGTCGTCAACAATGGGTTGTAATTATTTTGGGTGGTATTACGTTACGTAGTTTCAAACTCTGCTGTATTTTCTCTTGCACATGCTATTCGTTTGCTGATTTTTGTGGTGTGAGTACTCCTTTTTATTAATTTGAGTTCAAAGCACAAGCATCTCGCCATTTATTGTTACCCAACAAGAGTTGGTGTGAAGTGATGACAAGCCCCCACTTCACCTGCTGTACTTTTGCTGCATTAAGCAGTGACACCTGGATGAAGAGACTGCGCTGACTTCATTGCTCACCTGGGGTCCTGCATGAGCCCACTGGATTAGAGCTACTCCTTCTAGATAAACGAGCAGTACACGTAGGTGCATGTTAGGAAACATGGTCACAGAGAGCGGTGGCGTCTTACCGAGTGGTGTGTGTGTTTTTTTGTTTTTGTTTTTCATTTTTACTATGCAGAGATGGGAAATGCACAAACTTTTCAAAGACTAGTGTCCGAGGAACTTTACAAAGAATACTTGAACCACTTCTTCAAAGTCATCCTATCATATTTTGTAGTCCTTGTTGCTTCCATTGTTAATCTTCATTTTTAAATGGTTTGTAGTTTAAGTGCACAACCTGAAGTTTTGTTTGAAGTTAATAAATTCATTCATATCTTGTTGGCTGCCTGTGAACGGAGATTCAGCAGTCATTGTATGCATCTTTTAGTCAAATGTATATTAAAACTTTTGTTAACGTAGAATGTTGTAGCCTTATACTTCAATCCTTTTCTTAAACCCTTTTCTGTGTTCTCCCGTGTGGTTCAGTGGCCATACGCTGATATCATCGAGAGCTTTAGCACTGGTCTTGCGATCAAAGGCTCACTGAAAATTTAATGTTAATGGAGCAAAATAAAATCTCTGATTAATGATAAATATATTCCTGATAAGGATTCAGTTTCAGTGGATTTATTTGAAATGTTTTGCTTCTTATAAATCAGGGGTAAAAAACATCTTAGGATCATACCATTATCAATTTGTTTTTTCTTTAGTGTCCCTCTTCTGAGTTTAAAGAGGAAATGGCTAGTAATAACATCCACACTTTGACCTGGTACCAAATTTACAAGCAGGCTATAAAGAAAATAGACGTATTTGGTTACATAAACGGTGTTATCAAAAACATTCAAAGGAAGATATTTCCTCACACCTCCGGTGGAATTAGGCATCAGATAATATTCCTCTTCAGGAAGGTCTTTCTGTGTCTCCTCTCCGTCCTCACTTCCTCGGCTTGGTTTGGCCTCAGCAGCTACACGTGTCTCACTGTATCTACTGCACCGACACAGCGCCAGGTTAACCTGACCACACGTTCCTCTGATGGGAGTCTGCGGGCCCCTTCATTTCCCGTAGGATGAAGTCCAAACTTAATAACGTGAAGTAAAGTTCTGCCTGTCTTCATGGCCTCACTTGTATTTATTTTTCTAGCCTTCATCGACTCTTATCTTCTCACAGTCACCCTACTTAAAGTTCCCCTCAAAGAGCCTCTTCTACCCAGGTCTGAATAACTTTGTGTAAATTTTATGTCCAGTCACCATAATTCATTTGTGTCTATGTCATTTCAGGTAATAAAAGAAATACAGAAACACTTAAAATAACATGAATATTATACTTTAAATAACAAAGCATATTAGAGTGTCATTTATATTTGACTTTAAAGGAATTATCTGATTTTTTGATATGTTTTCCTTTAAGTCATTCTGTTTGTGAGGTTGACATTGAAATAAGTTCTACTGCATGCTGCCTTGGTAACTGACTGAGAAAGGAAACCCAGAAACCAGAAACTCCCTGGATAGTAGAACAGCAGCGCTGGAGTTAAAACTTTGATGTGAATTATTCCATAGACAGTCTATGTACTCACAGTGGAATTCCTAAGTAACTTTTGAAGTTTTTAAGATAGGCACCCTTTAGGTTAATGTACAAGGGTTAAGGACTTCTACTCAATAATTTATTCATTCAACAAATATTTACTCAGCCTCTATGCCAGGAACAACTCCTAGGAATTGAAGGAACCAAAGACACTTCTTGGCATAAAGTTGCTCACAATTTAGCAGGGAGAGACACGCATTTAAAAGAAAACCAAAACCCTTTGAGCCCAAGTTCATAAGTGACTAAATCAGGTACTAAGAGTAAAAAGAGAAGATATGTGGGGCAGGTGGGAGAGGGATGCAGGAAAGCTCCGCGGAAAAAGTATTTTTTTTAAAGTGAAGTATAATTGACATATAATATCCTATTAGTTTCAGGTGCACATCATAGTGATTCAGTATTTATATACATTATGAAATGATAGCCACCATGAGTCTAGTTACCACCTGTCACCATACAAAGTTATTACAGTATTATTGACTCTATTCCCCGTGCCGTACATTCTGAAAGAAGTGTT